ATGATTTGGAATCCCACTGAAATTCCAACTGAAGGACGAATTCTTCACACAAGATGAGGGACTGCCAATGGGATCGCCACTTTCACCAGTCGTAGCCAACATATAGTGTGGCTATGACTGGTGATGGTTTGAAACTCTGGCCATTAAAGAAGCCCACAAGAAACCTCGAGTCTGGTTGAGATATGTTGACGACACCTTCATAATATGGAACCATGGGAATACTGAACTAGACGCCCTACTGAAACACATCAACAGCGTGAGACCTTCCATCAATTCCACAATGGAGAAGGAAATCCACAACGAATTGCCATTCTTAGACGTTTTGGTGAAGAGGACCGACACTAAGTGGGAAACATCTGTATACCGAAAACCCACTCATACGGGACAGTATCTGAACCACGAATCCAACCACCATCAATCGACTAAAAGAGGAATCTTCAAGACTCTATTAGACCGTGCTTTTGGGCTTTGTAATACGAAGGAAGGTCTCGAGAAGGAAACAGACGTCATCAAAAATGATCTTCAACGGAATGGCTACTCCAAAGCGATGGTAGAAAAGACTTTGGCTAGAAGACAGCAGGAGCCTCGCAAGGAAGAGAAGCCGTCACAACCAGTGCTTGCACTTTCACTTTTAAAATCTTTAAAATGATGTGTTACAAGATAGGGGGGTACCATTTAAAATTATTAAGTGGGGGTAGCTAGGGGTAAGGGGGTTAAGCCTAAAATACCACTGGCACTGGTTTTAAACTTCCCCCTCGATATCTGAATTGACGTGTTTTTTGCCTACGGCAAATTCTCCCTGCTAAACGAAGTACTAGGGGTGGGAAGTTTTGAAAGGAAGGCACTGTATAACATAACCATCAGCTATACGTTTTTGAATCACATTTATTTGGTCTAGAATTATATTTTTCAAAAATTTTGAATACAAAACGTAGGAAAACATCAATAACATCGATTTGACCGACAGTTGTATACTCTTTCTCTGTAGGTTAACAAACTTTTCACCCTTTTTACACCTTCTTCAATTACGTGGCAATGGGTCGAAAAAGAACAAAGGTCGAAAACTGTGGAACTGGGGATTAACAAGCTCGTACCTTTCAACGTGCGATTCTTAGCATATTATCAGGGGAATATTTACTGTTGATTCGAGAAATCCTTCATTTCAATCAATAATTTGTTATTGTAACATTCGACAACTAATGACCATGAATAAATGATTTCAATAGCAAGCATTTAAGTTTTACCGGAGCCTAGTTGTTTATAAAATGTGTCGAGATTGTTTGATAGGGTGGTAATTTATGTGTTTCTGCATTGGTAAATAATTGGGGGAGCTTTTGATAGCGATAGTTAGCTAGATAGTGTGGACACTGAATCATTAGGTTATGATATACAACATCGGTGGCATGTTTGTATTGTATTCTATTGCTTGATTGCCGCCCGGGGGAGATGTGATTCTATTCAGGTAGATCGAGTACCTAATTCTAACAATACCATTATCATCAATGTCGAAGGATTCGGGAGGGAATCATAGACACACTAGAGATACATTCATGAAACTGTATAGCGTCTTCCATTTGGGCGCTTCCTCTCTATAAATTTATATGAAAAAATAGTGCATATTATCCAATGTGCCATGACTGTGTGACATGTAGCGCTGTCCTCTTGAAACCACATGTCGTTGGTGTTCAGATCATTCAATTCAGGCCAAAAGAAGTACGACATATAGTACTTGCCGTTGACAGTGATGCGTTTCGTCAACGTACTGGTGTTGGTCGATTATTTACTGAACCAGTGGACTCAAATTCATTCACGACATTGCAGATGTAGCTTCAACAAAATGACTTTTATCAATTGTCAAGTTTGAAAGTTCTTGTGGGAAGACTCGTTAATTCGAGGTGAAGAATCATGATGTGTTTTACGGAATCGATCACATCGATTTCGTGTCAGTTTTCATATGATCTCTATTTGGATTTTGAAAGTCAGTCCTTTCTACACTCAGTTTCCTTACTATTCATTTGAAGTAACGGTCAAATTAGACTAAAAAATAAGAGTGAAGGTACATAAATTTACAAGCTGCAAATGCGTGTAATCGTCCAAAACATAGTTAAAAATAATATTTGAGAATCCCGAATGATTGCGATGCCTGGAAAAAAATTTATTCGTGGTGTAAAGGTAAAAAATCTCGAAAAAAATTTGTTTTTCTCGATTTTCAGGAAAACGGTGAGTTTTATCATAAAATAACTTCAGCTAAAAATTGTAGATCATAAAATTCTCTACAAAAAATGTATCAATACTTTTTTTTCTTAAAGCCACCGTTTCTGAGATACGACGAGTTAAAAAGTTGTAAAAGTTGTAATCGTCATTATATGCATAAGTATGCCATGTATATACATCTCTGAAGTTGTAATTTAAGTAAAAATATTTTTCTATTAGTAGCAATATTTCTTGCAAACACTCACAACAAATCTCGATTCATTTCAATGTTGAATGATAAGTTTATTGGCGGAAATATATTGTACTTATGATGCACTGTTTGAAACTTTTGGTGTAGTAATGAATATTACTGGAGTTTTTTCCCAACACCAAATCGTTATTTTTAACAGACACGTGTTTCGATCACCAAAAAAAACTCCAGTAGTATTCATTTGGAAATATATTGGTTGAACAGGCTAATAACGATGCCAACGTACTGATTATTGAAACAGCTATAGAGCAATTTAATTTGACAAATACAACTATTGTTGTCGGTGAAGATGTAGACTTACTCATACTTCTTACTGCTCGAACTCCACCTGAAAAAACTATTTTCTTTCTAAAGCCAGGAAAATCTCAAAGTCAAGCCGAAATATATTCGTCAAAAAGTTCATCTACTTTTGCAAAGAGTCAACATCATGTACTAGTTTTACACGCAATAACTGGCTGTGATACGACGTCTGCATTTTACTGGAGGGGTAAAGCAACAGTCTTATGGCCTTTCACAGTCACTTGGTGAACGTCTAGTCTGTCAATTTGCACATGATACGTGGGTAACAGTGTCTGGATCCGATTCAAGGATTCTCTCCAGAGGGTTATCTGAGGTAGCGGAAAAAATGTTCAGGTGGTGTGCGGAGAACGAATTAAAATTGAACACAAATGAAACAGGACTAATCCTTTCCAGAACTTTTTTAAATAGACAGGAATGCATTTACTTACGTCAAATTGGATCATAAACCTGTTCCAGAAATGAACGATTTGAAATTTTTGGATGTCATAGTTGATAGCAATGTCAGATAGGATATATACGTCAATAAACTGAACTCAAGGCTCTGTTCTATAGCAGAGCAACAAGGGACCAAGTCTCATTGAACAGCATAAAGATATATCACTATGCAAATGATCAATGTATTATTCAATATGGTGTTGTATTTTGGGGCACCTTTATTATAGCGAACAAAATATTCAAAACTAAAAAGTATATAATTCGCTCTATGTTTAAATTATCTTATAGATCAACATGTAGACCAAAGAACTTGATTTATTAACCGTACCTTTCTGTAATCATTATTCCGATCGAATGATAAGAAATACTAGACGAAGAACCGACCTAAGTATACTGAAACTCTACTACTATAAAGCCGTTGACAGTATTTCATGATGAATTTCACTTGTTCGGACTTCCATTGTCTAATATATAAAATGATTTGAAATCCCTGAAACAACTAAAAAAGAAGAATTAAAATCATCATCAAAACTGATCTTCAACGGAATGGCTACTCCAAAGCGATGGTAGAAAATACTTTGGCTGAAAGACAGCAGGAGCCTGGCAAGGAAGAGATGCCGTCACAACCAATGATTGCTACATCAGAGGATCATAGGAGAGGATAAGAAGGATTGGTTCCAAGTACAACATCAGAACCTGCTTCAGATCCGGCAACACTATCCGTAGCAGCCTCACGAAAACCAGGCCACCAAACGCGGACTGCGATTCCAAGAATTGCATTTACCGGATACCCTGTGAGTGCGGAAAATCCTATATTGGTGAAACTAAGAGGCATTGCTGAGCACAAAAAACACACACAGCGAGGGGAAACCAGCAAATCAGGAATAGCAGAACATGTTTGAACCCATCAACACAACATCGAGTGGTCCCAAGTTGAGATCATACACAGAGAGGAACATTGGTTTGAGGGAAAATTCAAGAAAGCCGCATACATGCTGTCCAACAACGTATTCAGCCAAGCTAGCGTAGAGATACGCAACATATGGACACCCATCATCAAGCGAAAAATGGCCAACTCCCGCCAAACGGTCATCTTCCACTGAACCAGTGAAGCGGAAAAAATGGAAAGCGGGGATAAGTGAAAGTACTCGAACGACCTATAAATAGTCATCTCTCGGAGGAATCAGTCCAGTCATCACCCGAAGACGATTGTAGATACTAACAATCGAAACGTCGTGAACTAACGTGGCTTGGATTCTCTTGACTTTTTATTTTCATTTTTATTTCTTTATTTTTTGTTCAATCGTTCTATTTTTACTTGTATTTTATTTCACTATTATTATTTCATTTCAGGTTATTTTTGCTTAACGTAATTGTTATTTTCAGCTATTCATTTTTAATTGTTCTTTTCTAGTTGTTTCAGGGATTTCAAATCATTTTATTTATCAGACAATGGAAGTCCGAACTAGTGAAATACAATAATTCTGATTAGATGTCTTTATACGTACTTGTTTTATCACCTTGTCTCTCAACCTGTCATTTTATATAATTTTATTCATTCGATGGATTGTATTTTAAGCATTTGACATACGTTTTAGTGCTTTGTTTCATAACCTCTAACCTGCTATATCTCCAGTTGATTTTATGGAAATGAAGAATAATTCATTACTATTATTATTATTATAGAATCTAGATGATGCTCACAAATGTGCGCCTCAAAAGAACCAGACCAACCGATGCAACCCCCTTTCATGGAAATTTGAATAAGGTGTACAATTCAATACGAATTTCTGATTTCCAGGCGAAGGAAGTTGCAATTCCAACGATGGCGTCTCAGAACTCCGTTACGGAAAGATCGGATCCGGCACCGGAGGAAGCGGGTCAGAAGACGAGGGAGTCGTCAATAATTCCGGGCATACAGACAGCGACAACTGCAAGAAAAAACACAGGCGGAACAGAACCACGTTCACGACCTACCAGCTTCACGAGCTGGAAAGAGCTTTCGAGAAAAGCCACTATCCTGACGTGTATAGCAGGGAGGAACTTGCTATGAAGGTGAATTTGCCAGAAGTTCGAGTACAGGTGAGTTTCATCAATTTAAAAGGTGATAGTTTCTCCAGTTCTTTACTGAATCATTTTATAATCTCATAAGGAAGGAAAAGCCGGGGCCTGAATTCATGTATCGGACACATTTTTATTGTTTCTTCTCTTTTGATCTTGAAAGAGTCATCATTGAAGACTAATTTTCATTGATATGGTTTGGAAATTGTCCAAAATTGTGAGGGTCATCTTGTAGCATTCCAGCAACTTTGGAGCATCTACGAATTTTTAAAATATTTTATACAGGGTGTCCCTGGACTTCCTCTTTTCCTCTCGTGTGGCCTAGACGAAGACGAGATAAAATGACCTGGGCTTTTCTTTCATTGGGGTTGTTTTTCCAAGGAGATACTGACTGTTTTATCTCATGAAGTTTTGCTGACGAACTATTCCATTGTGATTGCCAGCTATTGATGATCGTTTGCTTGTATAGAGATTTCAGATCCGTGTGAACAGCAAGTAACACTGTATCTGTTAGCGGGTTAGTAACTGCTTCTTTCGCTAGTTTGTCAGCTCTTTCATTTCCAACTACGCCCATATGTGAAGGGACCCACATAAACCGGATTTAAATATGTTTTTGATGTAGTAGGAGTGAAGGTAATCGCATTGCTGACTCTTTAGCCAAGGAAGCGGCTGGACTAAGAATTCTGGCACCCAGTGGCATCTACGGCCTGATGACTTTGAGAATTGCGGAACTAGCCAAACTGCACACACTAGGAACAGGAAGATGAAACTGTCAGGTATATCCTATGCGAAAGTCCGGAGTTATTGTCACTAAGAGATTGTATGTTCGGTGAGTCTTGGCCTACCTCTGCTGATATAGAAGAGATGTCTCACAGAGACCTGTCCATTTTTCTGGAAAGGACAGGATGGACGATGACTCAGAAGAACAACTCCTTGGAAGGATGTTCCCACAGCACTTAGGTCACATTTGGCCTAAGTGCTATGGGCTCACACACACCCTCCCTACTCTATACAGGCTGATTCACGGTGGATGGCACATTAGACGTTTCTGGAGAACCAGACAACGGATCACTTTGAAAATTTAATGGAGGGCATATTCGGACATTCTCTAGCCAACTAAAATATTTTCGACA